TACAATGTGCTGGGAAAAAATGCTCAGATCAAATACAAATGCTGCAAAGAAAGAAAAATCTGTTTTCTTAATATGTGGAAGAATACGCTACTTTTGCCTGCTCCCTTATTCACGAGGGGTTGCCACAGTGGGTAGCTCCGCATGTTTGAGTTGGCAAAGCTTTTTTATGCCGGATCCTTTTCCTGACAAAAGCCCACTGGGATTTGTGTCTCCTCCCGGGATCAAACTGGGGATCTTTTACTTGTCAGGGAATTGTGTAAACCGAAAGGCTGATTTTGTTCTATTTCAGCTTTGTCTGTTATCTTCTCAGTTTCAGACCAGTCTATAGTTCACTTGTGGATTTGTTAACTAATAAAGTAGTAATATTGGACACATAACCAGCTGTAGAGCTTCAGCTACAAGCTCATCAAACAAACCTGAAATAAATAAAAGAAAAAACTCTAATTTAAATTCACAAATCTGCTTCACAGCTGAATGAAATCCCTTCATTTGCCTTTCAACTGGTGGGACAAATGAATGTTTTTAAAAAAGGCTTTAAACTTTAACATTTCTCTTGCTGCTTCTCCTCCGTGCAGGATCTTAAAAGTAAGCGTAACCCTCGCCTGGTTCCTTATGCTCTGCTGGATGAACGCACCAAGAAGTCGAACAGGGACAGCCTGCGGGAAGCTATCCGCACTCTGATTGGCTACGGGTACAACATCGAGCCCTCGGACCAGGAAGGCGGTGAGTTTCACCCATGAAAGTGTGCTAATCAAAATGCCCAGAAGTTCAAATTATACAGTGCATAATAAAATGCTCCTTACAAAGAATAAGGATAAAAAAATATGTCCTGATATGGGACTTTGCCTTCCATCCCCTTTCAGTTTAGAGTGAAAGAGAATAGCCACATGAAATTGCTGCCTTTACCTACAGCCACTGGGTTTTTGCAATTAATATTTCCATTGCTTCTTATTATTCTCCTTTCACCCAGCAGGACAAGTCTCAGAGCGCCTCAGCATTGATAAGATCCGCTTCTTTAGGGTAGAGAGAACGTACGCAGTGAAGACCGGGAAGTGGTACTTCGAATTTGAGGCCGTTACCGGTGGAGACATGAGAGTGGGCTGGGCCAGACCTGGGTGTAAGCCAGATGTGGAGCTTGGCACAGATGAGCTTGCGTTTGTCTTTGATGGATACAGGGTAAGCTGTCAACCAAATCTCAGTTAATCCCGACAGCGTATTGGTGAAGTTCACGTAGACTCCTCGAAAAATGGCTTTCCTTTATTCTTTCGTATTTAAAAGCCTATTTAATTATTTGGTGTTAAGCTCATTTAAAGTAGTTGCTCACATTGTGTGTATACCATATGGTATTCCTTGTGTCTGTGCTGTGCACAGGGCCACTGCCTGAACATGGGCAGCCGGCTGTTTGGGCGCTGTTGGCATGCTGGGGATGTGGTGGGCTGCATGATCAACATGGAGGACAAGTCCATGATCTTCACTCTGAACGGGGAGATCCTGATCACCACCAAGGGCTCTGAACTCTGCTTCACGGACTTTGAAACTGAGGATGGTGAGAAAGAGCGTGTATGAATGTGGCTGTGAGGAGCTGTTGAGCACACGTCCTTGCCATCCTGCCCTCATCTTTTAAAGCCTTCACATGTAGAGCAGAAGGCTTTATCCCAGAACAATCATGGTGGTGATATAAGTTAAAATTGAGCGGCTCCCTGTGTGGAAATCAGCCGTATTTGAAGTGCCACTTGTAAATTGCCTTTTGCAAAAGCTGCATTGATGTTCCATCCCTCCTGCCGTGTATTCTTAAAGACTTCTTTCTCTCCTCCTTCTTTGCTCCCCCCCTTTGTCTTTATGTCCTTTGTCTGTCCTGCAGGGTTTATTCCAGTGTGTAGCCTCGGTCTGTCGCAGGTGGGTCGTATGAACCTCGGGAAGGATGCTAGCACCTTTAAGTACTACACCATGTGCGGCTTGCAGGAGGGATTCGAGCCATTTGCCGTCAACATGAATCGAGAGGTCACGATGTGGTTCAGCAAGCGTCTGCCTACTTTTGTCAACGTGCCGAAGGACCACAACCACATTGCGGTAAGAAAGAAGAAACTGTGAAATTGTTAAAAACGATTGAATTGGCCTAGACGATGAACGCGAAGATTGTCATCGTTTGTTTGCAGGTAACCAGGATCGACGGCACCATCGACAGCCCTCCTTGTCTCAAAGTCACCCACAAGACGTTTGGGACACAGAACAGTAACGCAGACATGGTGTTTTGTCGTCTGAGCATGCCTGTGGAGTTCCACTCTGTTTTCAAGATCAGCCCTGTGGTGGACATGAACGGTGTTCATGAGGAAGAAACCCTTAAAGTCAAACACAGGTGCTGAACTTCCCAAAACTGTGACTTTAAGCTCTTTTGCGAGAAAACCTTGAATCCGACATGTTATCTGCTCGCTAATGACTTTTTGAATATGGTTTCTGATAGATATCCACTGAGATCTGTGAGGCACAGCGATGAAAGTAGACGAGTGGACTACAGCAGCATCACTACGGTACAGAAGAAACGTCTGTTTGCAGCTGCAAAAACTAAATGCGTTTTCATTTTTGGCTAAGTCTCTCTTCTCTGTTTTGTTACAGTACTACCATTCAGTGAGGGTCTTCGCAGGTCAGGACCCTGCCTGTGTGTGGGTTGGATGGGTTACTCCTGACTACCATTACCATAGCAACAACTTCAACCTCAGCAAGAATCGTACAGTGACTGTAACCCTGGGCGATGAACGTGGGCGAGTCCACGAGAGGTGACGCCCTCTGTGTTTATATGTAATAAATGCTGACGATTATTTTTAATTACTAACCTTGTAAAGATTTTTATATATGCTTATTACTGACAGCGTGAAGAGGAGTAACTGCTACATGGTGTGGGGTGGTGATGTCACCAGCACTTCCCACACCTCCGGTCGCAGCAATGTGGATCTGGAGATCGGCTGTCTAATAGATTTGGCCACTGGCCTACTGACATTCACCGTCAATGGCAAAGATATCTCTACCTCCTACCAGGTACAACACACACAGCTGTGCAAGCAAGAATATAACTATTGCTATGTTTCTCTATAATTTAAAGTATCTAGTGTGATGGGTGCAACCCAAAATAACTATGCCACCGAACTAATAAAAAGTAAATTTACAAAACTGTGCAAAAGTCTTGAACCTCTTCATCAGTTTTTTATATTTTGCTAGGAAAATAGAAATAAGGTGAAAGATTGAATGGAAATACAAAATATGGGGCAAAAACAGAGTTTGTACAATTCTAATGAGCTTGAAAGTCAATATTTGACACAACTGCCTTTGTTTTCCAACACATTTCTAAATAGTCTTCAGGAATAGTCCTGCAGGCTTCTTTAGGACATTCAATGATTTTCAGATGTTGGCTCCCCTTTGGTAAATTGTAAATGGGAAGTTATATTGTCTTTGGACTGTGGGAGGAAGCCGGAGTACCCGGAGAGAACCCACGCAAACACGGGGAGAACACGCGAACCCTGGACTTGAACTCAGGACCTTTTTGAAGTGAGGCAACAGTGCTAACGACCGTGGCACTGTACTACAGTTAGTGGGGTTAGGTTGATTGGAAACTCTAAATTGTCCATAGGTATAGATGTGGGAGTGAATGCGAGTGTGAATGGTTGTCTATGTGTTAGCCCGGCGACAGACTGGCGACGTGTCCAGGGTGTACCCTGCCTCTTGCGCTAAGACAGCTGGGATAGACTCCCCCTGTGACCCTGAAAAAGGATGAGCAGAGAATTCCCAATCAAACATTCAGAGCTTTTATCTACGCTTTCTATGCCTATTCACGTGCATCGGGGCAACTTAGTGCATTTAGCATGAGTCATGGATCGACCGACCTGACCTGCTCTACCGTAGCTTCTTTTTACTCCCAGTATGATCCCACTCTGTTTCAAAGTTGTTAAGGTTCGGGGAGGCCAGTCAGTGACCGACGGCATGTGTGTTTTTCTATCCAGGTATGCTTTTACTGCTTTGGCAGTGTGTTTGGCATCATTGCGATGCTGAAAAATTAAACCGTTGCCAATCAGATCCTTTCCAGATGCTATTTCATGCTGGATCAAAATCTGACAGCACTTCTCACAGTTCCATCAGTTTTGACAAAATCCACAACACCACTGACTGACATGCAGCTCCAAATCAGACAGAGCTTCTTCTGTGTTTTACAGATGGCTGTAGACACTCACTGTTGTACCTCTTTCCTTACCTCCTCACTACACATTGACGAAGATTTGGAGAAAAACGTTCTTTCCATAAGACCTGTTCTCACTGATTTACATTCTAGTTCATGTGTAATGTGGCATACCTCAGCTTTTCTTCTCGTTTTCCTTCCTTAAGAATGAAAAAGGCAATCTTGTGCCTGTCAGACTGTGTTGTTTTTTTGTACATTTTGTATATATTTTTTTTTGAAGATTCAAGGAAAAAATTACATGTTTTTGCAAAAGGCTGCTAGTAAAAATGTCAAAGATACAATTTAATATTTGCTCTTTTTGTCTGTTACGTGAAGACACAACACTTGTTCGTCCCTTGACTTATGTGTTTGTTATGCTTGAATGATTCATAGGTTGGAGTGAAGTGTTAACTTTAAAAAAACCCAGAGAACTGTGACGCAAAACCAAAACTTTAAAAGCACATCTGGCTCATTGGAAACAAAACTGTGAATTTGGACATCAATTTCAGGGTCTGCAAGTGCAGCCATAAACAATTCCCATCACTCCCACTTTTGAATCACCCTTTGAATCACCTGAATACCTGCACATCACCATTGTGCCCTGGAAATGCTTCCACGAATGCTGCTGTTTGGTCTCTGTTTATCGTAGTTCTCATCATCACTGATGGTCCTTGACAGTGTCATGGCGACAAAAGTTTATATTTGATGATGATAGCAAAATCACAAATGTGCAAGTGGTCAGAGCTGGATGCTCAAGGAGAGAACCATGAGGGGCATGGGGAGCAGTTAAATTTAATAAATCAGGTCAGTTTGTACACTAAGGAGCTTGGAAAGAAAAGCGTCTGGACTTCTTTAAGTTGCTTGAAGACGTTTTACTTCTCATCTGAGAAGCTTCTTCAGTTCTAGGGTCAAATAGTGGAGAGTCCCAGATTTAAGCCCTATGGGAGTGACCCCCAAGAGAGACATGGACCCCCTGTTGATCCTCTACCTAATCATATGAGCCAAGGTGTGAAAATCGGTGTGGGTCACAATCAGCCAAGGTTTTGGGTGAACCCGCTGTGAAACCTAGCCCCACACAGTTGGTGTCGTAAGCCACTGCATCTGTTCAAAGATGTTCGTTCACAGTGGACATAGATGGCTTCTTTCACTCTGTCCTCGAAAGAGTGACCTTTGCCCTTTAGATGCAGATGGATAGCTGGCTCTTGTCCCGTTGAGGTGGCTCTATGTTGTGCCATATGTTTATGAAGTGGCTGTTTGGTCTCTCCGATGTAGAGGTCTAAGCGACTTGAGCGAACTGAAGAAGCTTCTGAGAGGTGAAACGTCTTCAAGCAACTTAAAGAAGTCCAGACGCTTTTTCTTTCCAAGCTCCTTAAACTACGATGACCTGGATGATTGAGAACCTTCACAGACATTTTGTAGAGTTTTATGGCTTTAGTTGTGGATCTTTTTTGGTAACATCTTGTAAAATGATTTATAAAGGATATCAAGTCTTTTGCGAAGTAGATGCATGCATACATTAATATCCTTATTCTTCACTAGCCTAATATTGGCCATGCATATATCCCTGCGTCTCCTGTTTAATCTGATGACCTTGAGAGTAACTTAATTTAAGACTTAATTTAAGACATATTTACTGAACAGAGAAGTGACTGTGCATCTTGTTGAATTGTGGACTTGTTGTTCAGATGTCCTCTCAAAAGTAAATCCCAAAATAATCTTTCAGAGGGTGTAATCTTCTTACGTTCTTCCTCACTGAAATTCTTTGAGACTTTACACAGTGCTGACTCATCGC